TGCTTCTGGGCAAAACAAATTGGATAAATGAAAACAAAAGTTATTATTAAACCCATGTGAGTATTTTTTGATAAAAATGGCAAAATAGGACACACAAAAATGTGTGTAGTACCAAGCTTCACATTTTCACTCAGAATAGCAACTGCTCAGGTTTTGAAGGAGCTCTGATTTTCTGGAAGCCCCACTTTATCTGTGAATATATTCAAAAGCACATTCAGAAGTTGGAGATCTGTGTAGCGAGCAATCAATCATTGTATGCCAGAGTCTCTGTGACTTGTATAAAATGCCAGTCAACGCTATGCAGTCCACTTTCAAATGCTATGTTTGCTAGTGGCAGAAGTGTCCCTTATGGAATAAACAGATTAAAAGCATCATGTGACTATAGAAAAGAATGAACACTGGAAACAATCACACTCAAAATTAAGTTTAATCTTTCAGTGCAATAGAAGCACCTAAGGTTCTTAAACTCAGCTGTACATTTAGTGGGAAAGAATGTGTTTTCTAAAACTTGAGAATGAATAGCCCCTACCTGGACAAATGGAACAAAGTAGGTGGGATTCCAGCTTGCTTCTAGCAATTTTTAAAATCTCAAGCATCAGTGCCCTTTAAGTACAAATCATTGCATAAATTCAACATCTGCTCTAAAAATATTGCATTTGCTTTTTTCTTCAAACCTCAAAGAAAACATTGGGCTATAAGGCTGAAAATAATAGCAATAAGAAGTATTGGGGACAGGTTGAACTCTTGTTTCCTAATAAATGCTAATGATGGAACTTGCCAGCGGCTATAACTGCACCATGTTGTTATATTGGCTTTACAGAGATATTGTTGCAGCATATCAGGCAGATAATCTAGTACAAATGTTTAGAGATCAGGGAGTTTGATTTCATTAACCAGACATAAAAGGGCCACCTGGTGAAACAGATATAGAGCAGACTCTCTGTATGGTGTAGACTAGGCCCACCATCCCTTCTATAGCCCCAAAGCTTCTCAAAGTGTGTGAAATTTTGTCCTCTCCAAAGACTGACTGGGATTTTTGCCTCTACAGCCCAACTAAGAAGCCACAATGAACATACGTGACAATCTTCTATGCATCATTTGCACTTCTCACCCTACAAATTCTCTCTCTCCACCCCTCTATTTGTCTTATTAGTTGTTCACAGTAAAAGAATCTCTAAGTGGCTTTCAAAAAATTAAGAGCCAAAGAAATAGCATGAAAATGAAAAGGCTACATCACAATAAAACCAGTGCAATAAGCATAAGCAGAACCAGCAAAACAACAAAACTTCAGAAGTAGAAAATAGGTATCAATAAACAGCGGAAACAACACTACCTGGTGCCAAAAGGCTGTTAATGATAGTGCCAGGCAGACTTCACTGAAATGAGCATTCTACAAAGAGAGAGAGAGATACAACAGAAAGAGATTTCACCTTTGTTATCATCCTCTGAACCTCCCTCAAAGTGAACATTCTATCCGCATGCTAGTCTGGCCTGGTGTTACACTGAGTAAATGGGTGGGCGCAGCTGAGCTAGACCAAACCCACCTAGACCTCAATGACACATGTCTCCTTCAGTGGTCAGATTATTGGTGGGCATGGTCTTATTATTGATCCATCTGGCATTAAGCAATAGCACCACCAAACCAGAGAGCTCAGCAGATACTTCTAGGGAAATCGGTGAGGGGGCCTAAGAAAGAGATGATGCTAAGTATACAGACCTTCAGTTTTTCAGTGGTGGAAATAAGCATGGAGATACTATGCTCAGATAAGAATGATCAGATCCATCTGTAAGACTAAATGACAGTCTTATTGTTTCTCATCAGTGTTCTGAATACCATTTAAATAGTGTAAGTCATTTAATATTCATTAGCAGCTGTAAATGTGGCTAAAATGTTAGCGAGCTGAAATATTAACTGTTGTCCACTTCCTTGTATTTAATCTAGGTGAGGCTAACACTATTAGGAAAAAGATGACCAGAAAGGCTAGAGCTAGATTAAGTGCTGCATTAGGTACAAAGCAGACTGCATAGAGTATCTGCCTCCATTAATCTCTGCTCAAGCTCAGGTTCTCATAACGCTTCTGCCATAGTGTTTGGACTCAGCTGAGCCTGGACACCAAACCTAAGGAGACCTCATCGGAAGAGAAAGAGCAGGGCCTTACTGCATCCCCCACCCAGACTTGAATTGTGTGGAATCAATACCCTTAGAGGATGACTTCCCAGGTAACACCTTGCAAGAGAGGGGTGCAATAATGGAGGGACCAAACATTCCATGACAGGACTCCTCATCGTCACTGCCAGGAACCCCAAAGCAGATGCAACAAAGGATTTGTGCCAAATATCAGCATCAGAGACGTTTGGCAGCCTGAGGCTTCTCCATCCTTAGTCCTACCTGGGGGGAAGTGACAAGCACTAGTCTATGGCGCTGTGGTCTAAACCACGGAGCCTCTTGGGCTTGCCGATTGGAAGGTCGGCGGTTTGAATCCCCACAATGGAGTGAGCTCCCATTGCTCTGTCCCAGCTCCTGCCAACCTAGCAGTTCGAAAGCATGCCAGTGCAAGTAGATAAATAGGTACCGCTGCAGCAGGAAGGTAAACGGTGTTCCCGTGTACTCTGGCTTCAGTCATGGTGTTCCATTGCACCAGAAGCAGTTTGGTCATGCTGGCCACATGACCCGGAAAACTGTCTGTGGACAAACACCGCCTCCCTAGGCCTGAAAGTGAGATGAGCGCCACAACCCCATAGTCGCCTTTGATTGGACTTAACCATCCAGGGGTCCTTTACCTTTTACCTATGTTCTGGATCAGGACTGGTTGAGCTCTAGGAAGAGGTTGGGCAGCTGGTCCACTCTTCAGTTTATGCTTGTTGGTTGCTAGTGCAACAACTCCATGAGAACAGCTGCCTTGTCCAGCCCAGCAAACCCAGGTCCTGATGAACAGCTCCTCAGCAGGTCTAGTGTACACTGTACCTGTTTTTGTTGCTCAGTTCATGCTGGACAGCTCCCTGGCTAGTCCAGGTCTTCTTGCTTGATAAATACCTGACCTGTGTGCTTTTGTTTTCCTTCAGCACTGGGAAAAGGCGGGTGTCTGACGCAAGGCCTCTTCTCCATGCAAAGCCTGCACAGAACACCTCACACTACAAGGGGAACCTCATGTGATTAAACGCTGCTCCGTATAAAAATGTTCTCTGCACACAGGTCTGAAAATTTATGGGTCCCCTTATTAACAGCGGCACCTTTAGCAATAACCAACTCAGGCCGCAATCCTGTACATACTTATCAGGGAGAAATCTCTATATAATTCAGCAGGGCTTACATCTGAGTAATATACAGCTTCTTTGGCATAAACCCACCCTAGGTTCACCAGGGACAACTTCTGAACAAAAGTAAGACACTCAGCTGTTAAGTTAGGTGCTATTTGTAAAATTGCAATGCTCAAATGTATACAAGTAGCTTTGCGGGGGAAGATGGTGGGGAGAAAACCAGAACAACTTGGCCATGCCCCATAACTTGTTAGCAGCCTCACCAGGCCTAGTGGGCACCAAAAACCACTGAGTGTGGCCAATAATAATGAGCAACATCTGCAAATTAGGGGTGTAGGGGTGTATTCCAGTTCATAAAAGTATACCTTTGCCCCACCCAAAAAGCATCCTGCTTAGAATAGCAAAAATGTTTTGCACCAGTCCAAACTAGATTGCAAACATAAGGACATCAGGCTCAACTGTACTATAATCAGGTTTGGTGTGTAACACTTAAAAAAATAAAAAATTAAGCCTGACACTGAACATGCTGTTTGAAATTCACACTGGTTATTGTAATGATTAATTTTGAGTCGTTAAAGGTATCACTTCGCTTGCTCTGTTTTTCAAAGGAAAAAACCCCCACTGTGACAGTTTTGAGGGGCTTAATGATAACATTGACCTTGAATGCCAGATTGCTATATAGTTTGCAATTTGAGGAAAAAAGATGCAGCAGCTTGTTGAGTCTAAAGACAAGCTTTGTACAGTACTTAGTTTATGCAGTGAACAACAGAATGTGGAACTGACTTCATCAGGAGCCCAATTAATGTTGCAGCATTCAATTTTTTTAACAAAAGACAGCCATTAATAACAAGTTCTGCTTACATGCACAAGTGCGGATGTGACTGGACTGTACAAACCAAATTCCTCAACTTATATGTGTGTCCTGTGCCTTGCTTCTAGAGAAATGTATCAACCTTTGCTTTAATGACTCTTGAGAGTCCCATGGACTGCAAGAAGATCAAACCTATCCCTTCTTAAGGAAATCAGCCCTGAGTGCTCACTGGAAGGACAGATCCTGAAGCTGAGGCTCCAATACTTTGGCCACCTCATGAGAAGAGAAGACTTCCTGGAAAAGACCCTGATGTTGGGAAAGATGGAGGGCACAAGGAGAAGGGGACGACAGAGGACGAGATGGCTGGATAGTGTTCTTGAAGCTACCAGCATGAGTTTGACCAAACTGCGGGAGGCAGTGGAAGACAGGAGTGCCTGGCATGCTCTGGTCCAGGGGATCACGAAGAGTCGGACACAACTAAACGACTAAACAACACCAACAACAAATGCTATATATTTGTTGTTAGAATTGTAAAGCCATAGCTTCACAGAGTACATGACAGACATGACCTATCTTCACCCCAGAGGATCAGTAAATGGCGCAAATGGAAAGATTATGTATGAAGAGCTGTTGCTGTAGGGAAAATGTGCCATGAACAATCATCTCATCATTTAATCTTTGGCCTTATCAAGCGAAGTATACAAACAAATGTATATGAAGAACACTCAGATTCACAGCAAGAATGGGGGAAATGGAAAAGAAATTGGCTAATGCTTTGTTCCTTACCTATTCCTAAAGCTGTAGTGACACTAAAGGGGTAGAAAGGGTGCAAAATCCTGGCTCCTTCACCTTGTCTTTTGAGAGAACCTCAATAACAGCAGTAACTACTGTATAGAATAAACAAATAAGTGTTCTGCACCCAACTCCCTCATACACACAGTGTGTATGTGTGTATGTATGTGTATGTATGTCTATATATATATGTACACACACACACACACACACACACACACACACGACAAAGTGGCCACTTTAGGATTCAGACCCTATTTTGCCTTTTATTTTCTTTTGTCACCCCACATTTTTGTTCTTAGGCTGCTTCTGGCCATTTCCATTTTCTGGAAATGATCCAGAGGTCTTCCTACAGAAGAGGAATTAAGTGCAAATAATTAATTTAGGTCAAGACAATATGCATTGTTACCCACTGGCACTTCTTAAGTTAGTTTGCATAGGATGTGAGACTAAAGGAGACATTAAGTGTCTTTTGCTATCCTTGTTAGCCTAGCGGGTGATTGGAGTCCTTTCAGAAGTGTATGTGAGGATCAGTTTCCCTTCCAGCACACTGAAGACTCACCATCACTTGGGTTATGTCTGCACTGAATTGCAAAACTTTATTTGGTATCATCTTGGCTCATGTTACTCACAACACAGTTGCCTTCAGATCTGTTCTTCCCAATGCCAGCTAAGCTTTATGTGAAAACAAGGCTTTTAAGACATCCTTGCCAAACTTCCTAGTTCATTCTGCTTAAACCATCAGTTTTTGATGTTGATAAATTCTTATTGGGTCTGAGATGTTCTGGAATTCAACTACTGACCTCATGATAAAAGGCACTTGCCCCTTACAATTTCTACTGAGCTGTATCAGATGCAGACATAGCATTAATCTAGCTAAGCAGTTCTATTGAGACAAGTTTTATATTCTCTTTTGCTTCTTAAAAACAACATCCTTATATTCCACCAGGGGTTTATTTTTGCCTACTGCTGCAACATTGAGCAGACATCTTCACTGAACTGTTCACAGTTACAATTGAGAGCTTATGCTGAGAGGCACCAGCTAATTGAGAAACCAACCGTGTGTATGAAAAATGTAAATGAATTCTGCCAATGTGCTTTGACAAAGCTCTACACTGGTGCCTCACCACAACCATAGGGTAGACATAGGATAATGAGTTAAACCAGAAAAGAACACTGTTAATGTTGGCATGTCTATCTGATTTCCTCCTGTTTCCCCTTATAATATCTCCTCCCCCAGTAAATAATTGTGTGAGACAAATTAGCCTTCATGAGGAATGTTTTGTTGTTGCATTTAATGACAACTACGATGAAAATAAGACTCCTGTGCTCTGCATGGCTCCATGCTAGGAAGGGACTTGGTGAGCAGAACTTCTCTTGGTACAATATTGCAGAAGGAATCTTTCTCTGCCAAAATTCTCCCTGCCATGTGCTTCTGGGATAGGCTGCACAGCTTTTGACATTTAGATTAATTTGTAGAATGATCAGTTTTACTGAAAGCACAATATTCTTATATTTTTCTACCTGAAAATTATGAACAGTAAGCATAATTAAAAAACAAAAACAGGGCAAAAGACAGATGCTGCTTAAAATCCAGAGCTACCACTGAAAAATAAATAAGTATTCTAAAAATACATTTGACAGTAAGTCTGTTCCAAATGGAATTATTAACGTCAACTTTAGTCTTTACCAATTCCAACCCAGCATGTAGAAATTCTTGTTGCAAGTTTGGATACTTCCGCTTTACTGTTCTGGTTTTCCTAGTTACACTTCCCCAGGAATGTCTTCCAGATTAGATCTCAGCTAATTGGAATCAATTTCTTATCTAGAATCCAGTTTTGGGGACACAGTCTCTTTGAATCTTCTTAGGCAATCTGATGGCAACATTATAATCTCCATTTGCAACACCAAACCAGTGGCCATGGGGCAAAGACAACCCACCCACTTCTGAAGACCCCTGAAGTGAAGGTGCCCCTACCAACTGTCTTCAGGACTTCACCCTCTTAAAAAAAACAACAACACCGCTTTGTAATTCAATGGCAATGCAATACTGAAGAACACTCTCTTGTCCCAAAGATCTTTCCTGGACACTTGGTATACTGTACTGGGAGTTTATTTGCAATCTGAGGTTATGGGTGCTTGCTAGCACTCATTCTCCTGGTCTGCAAAGCAGTTCTGCCCTCACACATCACAGAAGAGTTCCATCACCCTGTCAGGGGAACAGCAAAATGTTATGAAGGCTAATGCCATAGGTGGTGGTGGGTTCTGGCACTACCCTTCCCCTTTAGGGTGTTGCTGCTACAGTCCATTTGCTTAGTCACCTTCTGCAACCTTTTGGCTGTGCACTACTAGCATTGGTGAGGAAGGAGAGAGGGCAGCTAGACTGCAACAACTGCACAGCTGTGAAAGAAACAGAAGAATATCAGAGTGCTTGGGAAAGTACAGAAAAGGTCAGCCAAAGCAGTCTGGTACTTGGCACTCCCCCCCTCCCCCTGCTAACACAGGTATAGTGTTTGGATATTTTTTTTCAGTTCAGAAGAAAGACATGATGGACCGAGGTTTGTAAAAGAACTAGCTGGAGGGAATGAATATAGAGAAAAGTTGCTCCCCAGACCTAGAATTCAGGGCCATCCAGTGTTAACTGCTCAGCAGGACAGGCAGAAGGAAGAAGTTATTCATATAGCACATGAATAACTTATGGAGTTCATTACTTCACGTTGTATGTTGACGGCTATTAGCTTAGCAGGCTTCAGGAAAGATTAGGGCAATATTAATGGAACAATCAATCATCGTTATTAGCCACGATAGCTAAGCAGAACCTTGATGTTCAACATAATATCATCCCCACTATTTCTAATGCTCATGTCTGAGTACTCCTGCTATGGTCAAAATCCACCATCCACACCTAATATAAAGGTGGAGGAAAGCTAAATGAGGTGGACTGCTAAAATAGTCCAGTAAGTGGGAGGAGTATGTATGCTCATTGGCCGCAGAATTCTGATTGACGGACTGGGGGAAGGAATGGAAAACCAGGGAGCTGGAGTAGAGTATCCTGGAAAAGGGACTGTCTGGCTGGTATTTTGAAAAGGAACATATTCCACACTGCAAATTTTGGTTGTACCTCAGATTATCTAATGTCGTGGGCAAAAAAAACCAAGAAGGATATCACCATTATTTCCTTGTGAGCTTTCTGGAAGAATACGAGTGGTCACTGTTGAAATGTTGGACTACACAATTCATATGTTCTTAGCAGACCCTCCAACTTGCTGCATGGTGCTTTGTCAACCTTAAAGGTCTGGCAATACGAAATTCTGAACAGGTAGACAAAACTTGGTTTTTAAAAAAAGCTTAGCAAGAATTTGGCAGGGAGAAGTAGAGGAGTTAGTTACACTGGCAAGGTTAAGCTACGCCACAGAAAGTCTTGTTCTAATTTTTATTATAAAACTATTTGGGTTCCAGTCCAGTCTCTTTCTTACAGTGCCATTAGGGAGAAGCAGCTCAATCGCAAATGTTGCTCTCCATGCGTGAGCTGCTGATGAGAGAGAAGGGCCTGTACTTGGCAGTAAAGGATTAATACGCATGGGAGTTACAGGCATGGGGAGAGGATAAACTCTCGGATGTTTAAATTAAAAATGCATTATTTTTCAAGTTATATTTTGAAATGGTCCTTGGAGAGGGAAACTAGGAAACAAAAGTAGATTCGTTTTATGTAATGTGGATTTTTCTCAAACTACTTATGATTGCCCCAGGAGAGGAAAATTGTTGCCTATAATAAAAAATAATAATAATCACCTGCTCATATCCTATCTATCTATATCTATCTACAGTGGTACCTCGGGTTAAGAACCTAATTCATTCCAGAGGTCCATTCTTAACCTGAAACTGTTCTTAACCTGAGGTACCACTTTAGCTAATGGGGCCTCCTGCTGCCGCAGCACCGCCACCACAAGATTTCTGTTCTCATCCTGAAGCAAAGTTCTTAACCCGAGGTAATATTTTTGGGTTAGCAGAGTCTGTAACCTGACCACTCTACCTACCTACCTACCTACCTACCTACCTACCTACCTACCTACCTATCTTATCTATCTATCTATCTTATCTATCTATCTATCTATCTATCATCTATCTGTCTATCTATCTATCTATCTTTGCCAGCTTTCAGTTGTTAGTTTAGCTAACTGTGTAAGCCTCCTATACATGTCTAGTCACAAGTAAATCCCATGGACTTCAATGGGCTTAACTTCCAGGTAAGTAAATATAGGGTTTACAGTCTTAGACTTGACAGCCACTAATATAAACGAGAACATGGTTCCTAAACCCAGCCAGCTCCAAATTAGGCATTCTTGTTAAATGCTGACAAATTATTTATAGAGAGAATTTTCTCATTATACATTCAGATGAAAGGCTTTGCAGTGCCCATTGAAATGTTTTCCTAGGAATAATGGCTGATCAGGTACTCATTAGTATCATGGAGAAAAAGGAAATGTTGAAAGGTGAGGGAGGGGGAGTGAGCAAATTGATGCTTCTTAAAAATGCTTTCCCTTCAGTTTAGAAACACTCATTGACTAAAAGCCTTTCTCTTTGTCCTTTGTATGGTATAATCAAAGCTATTTAAAACCGGAGCTTTACAATAAGAGCCATTTAACACAAGCAAACCATTTTAAATCTAATATTAGGACTGCATGGAAACATGTAAGAACATAATCATGTGGAGATTGTGATACCTTTTTTGTGTGTGCAAAACATTTCTGTAGCATTCAAATACCCATTTCCTGGTTTGAGCTGTGTGGCGGATGACCCTTGCTCTGAAAAGTGTGGTCAAAATTAAAGGGTTCAGGAACTCGGACCAGACCAAATTTCATAAAATCATACACAGACTTTACTAAAACAAAACTCTACAAGAGAGAAAAACTCCAAATACCGGTAATTACACAGATTAAAATAGCTCAGGAGGTTAGGAAACAACGAATACTAACTTATCCAGCTAATTAACATAAACACTTACACTTAAATCTCAGCAGGCTGAGCAACGGAACACGATGCTGCCAAAAGCTCAAATAGACATGGACCTCAGCTTGGTTGGCTGCCAAGAGCTCCCACCAATCCAGGTTTTATGGGAACTTAGACCATGGCCGTTTACCTCTTCTACCCAGTTACCTTGTGACACCGACCCTGATGCCTAACAGGAGACAGATGTAAGATTATTTCTGAGGTTCTAACTCATTCCCATAAACCACTT